CCTTACTTTTAATTTTTTTGGTGTCATTCTAACAATAACAATATATGGAGGGTTTTTTTTTTAATTGAAGTATAGTTCATTTACAAGTGACTTCACTTCTTTGGCTTAGTTTCATCATCTGTAAAGTAGAGCTGGCTATTCCTACTTCAAAAAGTGGTCATGAGAGTTAAGCAAGAAAGCATCTGCAAAGCACCTTGCATTGTAATTGCACAATAAGTGGTCTTAAATGTCTTAGAAAACAATCATAGATTCTTAAGGACTTAGCAAGCACACAGCCCAAATCTTTCATTTTTAATAGAAGAAACTGAGCACCCCAGAGGCGAACTCAGGTTCCCAAAGGGTCTTTGAGGTCTCCCCGTTGGAAGGCACAGCTGTCATGATTAATCACGCAGAGGATGAGGTCATCATCTGGTGCCCCGCATAGCATCTACATTGCCAGTGGCCCTGGTGCTTCAGCGCTTCTCTTCTGGACACATTGCCCAGCCTCTGAGGATGCTCAGATGCTCAGCCCTGAGACCCAGCCACCAAGATGGTGTTCTTTTCCTGCACTGATACCATCAATCATATCATGTGGCATTACTTTAATTGCTGCCCTATTTTTGGAAAAATAGATGGCTAAGCATAAGCAATTTTTTTCTTAGCATTTTTTTTTTTTGGTTACTGAGGCAAAGTACTCAGTAAATAAGGACTGATTTGCATGACATTTTGCATGAATAGCGATGTTGAATGAACAAGGTAACAGACTTTGAACTTTCGTAAGCATTCTATTCAATTTTAAAATGACTTTTTTTGGTTGTTAATTCCCAGTAGATTTCCACTGACATGAAAATCGACCACAATTTGGGAGGCCTCTGGTGGCTACAATGGGAAAACACAAAAGCGATTACAAGCCTGTGTGCGTTCGTTTAGCTAGGTGAGGGAAGCCTTTGTTTATGCACACTGGGCTGCAGGGATTTTCCAGGCGTGCGGACTCAGGTTATACTCGGAACCCCAAGTGCCATCAGAGTTTGGGGCATGATCAGGGTCTTGCTGGGAGCCAAAGAGGATGCGTGCTGTGCTTCCCCAGGTCAGAACTGGGCAAAACAACACCCAAAGAAATTCAAGGGCGAGAAAACAAAGTCCAAATGAACCACAGATCTTATATTCTAGGGGTTGCGATCTATTCCATTTGGCTTGTATATGAAATAGACAGCAAGTTCCAGTCTAAAATAACTAAATAAAAGACTTTTGGTGTC